AATTTTGCATAATATTCCTGTATGTTTAATGAAACCAAAGGGAAAAATACAAATTTTATGTAAAAACTCATGAAAATTTAGGCAAATTTACCAAGAAATAAGTAAAATTCCTTTGTAAATTCGCATTCATTTTTATCAGTGTACATTGTATACACACTGCATATCAAAATGTTTTGTGGGCATTCTTTGACCCACGTAAACCTTAGTGCTTTTCTGTTTCAAACTGTTGCAACTCGCGTCCTAATCAAAACTTTTAGATCACAATAAAATAAAAAGAACTCTTTTCCAAAAATGTAGCCGGCGATAGGGTAAAGTATCTAAAAAAGATCTAAAGTGGATCCTGCCAGTTTTACTGACAGGTACTTAATTAACAAATGAAATTCGTCTACCTTCTTGTACGAAGCAAACCAATTTTTCCATATAAAAGTTATAACAATCGCAATTTTTAATATTTAACAATAACTCGTGCGTCAGCTATCTATTTAGATTATTATTATTAGCCAGTATCTTTTTTAATGCCACAAATTACAGGAAGTTCTCTCGTACAAAAATAGTTGTAAAAACACAACGATCGATAAATTAACTATCTCAGAGAAAACTACGTTCTCCTTCCCTTTCTTTTTCATTACGCGGATATGATTATTAATATCTCTAATATTAATCCTCATCTCATATTCTCAAGGATTAAAATACTTCACATAATACGGATATAACTTTGAACAGGGGAGGAATTGGAGCTTATAAAGCGCAATTATCACGAGACTCATTTAGCTTACATATATATTAATGAGTGCATATTAGCAGTCATCAAGCACGCACGCAAATCTGATATTATAAAACTATTTTAATAAAAGGTCACTACTCATCATCAGGTTATTAACCTTTCGTTATTCCGGACGAAAGATTTTTAAACTATGCGAAATTCTACGATTCCGCAAGAAGCTGTCGTGGCGAGCATAGCTTTCGTATTTTAATGGATAATCAATTGTGTAATTCGATCATTAAATTAAATTCAAGGAGGACGGAGATATTTTGCAACAAGGGGCATCCAATATTTTGCATTTATCGAAATAACACAGCGCGTCGCACGTCATCGTGTACAGCGCGCGTCGATTTTGCTGATAAATTAGCGCGCGAGCTAATCCATATTCGAATCTGGTATCCGAGCTGATATCGGGACGTCATGCGATACGAACGAAATATATTGCACGATAAAAGCGCATCGCCAAAGACGCGTCGCCCCTCGTCTCGAGAGGCTCGAGCACTTTCCGCGCCTAAGTGCAGCTTTGCGCAGCTTGAATTACGATCGCTCGCATATCACATTTCCCAGCCTCGAATAATCGTAAAAGAAAGTTATCGCTACTTTGAGAGGCCGCGTCGCCTAAATGAAGCGTGACTACGTTCGTTACCCGCAAGTGAGCACCGCGAAGCCGTGGCCCGGAGCTTTACGGAGGACCGAGTCGGACCGAGAGGAGAAATATTAATGAGCGCAATTAGTTGCCGTGCCACAAAAAATGTCGCAACCGCCCGCCTGTTTCTCCCTTTCCGTCGTTCCACTTAAAAATCGCGGACGCCAAGTAATTTATATCCGGAAATATGTGGGTGAAGTGACGCGATAGCACAGAGTCTAAAATTTGCATATTCCAGACGACGAAAAAGTCTGTGCGCGGCCGGGGGGGACGCTGCGAGCGAAAGGATTAAACTTTCTCATGAATTATCATCGAATGCGAGGAAAAGTTCCGCGTATAACGGCCCGGCAATGAGCGAGGTCCTTTTTTTCGCCCAGTGTTTACGAGTCCCGCTCCAGAAACTCAAGTTAAACGTAACTTTTTGACCATGTCACAGCTTGTGAAGCATTACACGCGTTTTTTTCTTCTCCCCCTCCCCCCTCTTTTTTTTCAAGCGGCAACTTTGTACATTAACACTATTTGCGAGGATACGAGGTACGGCCCGCGCGCCACTGTGCGTTACAGTCCTCGCGGTTAAAGATGATTATGCAAAGGAAGTGCTGCGTGCGTTCTAATATTCTCACGCAGCGAAAGTTTTGCTTATTCAAATTTATTCATTGCTTCTTTTTTGCATTACCCCGCGCAAAATTAATACGGACGGGGAACGCCCCGAGACGACCGCGCGGGAAATCCCACTTTTTTTATTATTCCGAAAGTAGAAAACTTACGAAAGTCCGAAGATTAGCAGATACGTCATGAGGAGAAGGAAAACAGATACGGGTATATTCGCTATGCCCGCGTCCGCAATAATGTTATATGAATTTGTAAAATGGGACGTGCGTCGATCTCCATTTCAGAAAGCACGGTTTGCGCCGTTAGTTGGGCAAAATGTCGTAATCGTTAAAGCGTCACGCATGATATATCGATTCGCAGTGAATTCGCAGGTACGGTATCCGATAGGAAATGTCGTTTTTAGAAAATTCATCCATCACACATCGGTACATTTAAATTGCATAAAAAATATTTTATATACGAAAAAATAATTGCCATACCGACACGAGCGTGTATCACTTTTCGCCGGGGTTGGAAAGTAACTCGTTACTTGTAACGAAGTTGCAGTTAAAGTTTACTTTTCTTTGACAACTCTAACTTAACTTCGTTATTTTTCCTCCACCTGTGACTGTGACTTACCTCAGTTACATTTTTTCGATAACTAGTAACCAATTTAATATAGTTACATTAGTGGTTACTTTATACAGGGTGAGTCATAAAGGCTGTCCCAACCTTTTACCATAAGAGGTGAATTACCGACCGCAACCGTAGCTCCCAACTCGGGAAAAATTGATAAAATCTCGTTCTACATGTCTCAATCATGTAATATCTAATTATTTCTCGAGGAATGTAATTAGATATTGCATGACTGAGACATGTAGAACGAGATTTTCTCCATTTTTGTCCGAGTTGGCTACAGTTGCGGTCGGTAATTCACCTCTTACGATAAAAGGTTGGGACAACCTTTACAAACTCACCCTGTACATATTTTAAATCTCTACAGATCGCATTAGGCCTTGCATTTGCGCGTAAACGCCTTTATCGACGCTTTACAATTCAAATGCAGATTTGATATTTTTATTTTCTTTGCAAGAAAGTAACTGCAAAGTAACGATTCGTCACTTTTTGAGTAACTGTAACTGTAACGCGTTACTTTTCGGAATTGGCAACTTGTAACTGTAACTAATTACATTTTAACAAAAAACTATAACGAGGTACTTTTATAAAGTAACTTTCCCAACCCTGCTTTTCGCCCGGTTGGTATTTCGCGTGAGGCTGCGAGAAAGACCATCATTCGCGCAGCGCGAGCGAGAGGCGGTAATTAGGCTCGGAAAACGGCGGAGACGGTATTGACTCGGTGTCCTAATAATACCTAGCGCTTTGTTTCTTGTTACACGAAGACTCGCGGAGTGAAATCACATCTGCGAGCGCTGGGAAAACAATTAGAATAAACTTAGCGTATAATTAATGTAACGTATCGCGATGATATTAGATATTTGTGCGCACTCTCGCTGTTATTGCTGCAGTATAACTGCGATTCCAACATCGACGTAATGTCGCATAAATATGCGTGTCTATCGCTTCCGCTTGGGAGAACAGCCTGTCGAGTTTCTCAAAGGGCGCGCCTTATCTAAGGAATTTTCTACGCACGCACGTAAAGACGTCTATTATCTTAACTGCTAATTATAAGTCTCGTGAATGAACAACGAATGCCGCGAAACGCGTGGCAGAATGTGTGCGTGAGAGAGGGAGAGAGAGAGAGAGAGAGCTCTCGTTTCTCGTTACGTCGAACGGGGCGAATTGTTGCGCCGGCGGTGATGACTTCGCTCTCGAGCAGGTGGTGCAAACGTGGAAGGTCGGTGAACGTTTCGACCGGACGTCGATCGCCGTCGACTGCGTTTGTCACTCTGTCAAATTCCGATTGATTCCCGGCCATTCACTTTGATCACGTTGCGTCGCGTCGCCGTCGGAGCGACAACGTTTCCATTTGCCGATTGCGAGCCCTCGTCGGCGAAAACGTTTCGTGGAAAGGGTTCGCGCGGGACGTGCAGAAAACGACGTGGCAGAATAGATGGGGCCGATTTCTCGCGCGGGAATTTCCGCGCTGGTATCTGGTGACACGGTGACCGAACAAGTCATCGTTCTCGTAGCCATTTATAATCGGCGGACGCTGCGCGGCGCGACGCGCGTTGCGACGCGACGCGACGCGCGGCTTTGTATCTCGACAAGAGATCTTAGGACGCGGCCGGGGAATTTATGACAAATTTATGCACATACATACAGTTTCATCTCCATAATATTAGCCTTTCTTTGTTAAGGGACAGAGAGTAGCGCCAGGGCGACACGTTGCAGCGATCTAGGTAGCGTACTTACATTTTCGGCACCGTGAGAGACACACGTGTCGCGGTAAAATTACACACGAGCTTATTAAAGTTACATGACGGCGAACAGCCCGACGGGGCGAGCAGACGCTCGCGGTGGACACCCGGCGCGGCGGACCGTTGTATCTTAATAATTTCATTTCACGACGTCGTTAAAGCGCCGGTCGTGATCGTTGAAAATAATCGCACTCTCCGCGCGAATCACCCTGTCGAGCACCGAAGATCACCTTCGCGATTAGAACGCGCTGCTTCGATTATCGTGCCGCGGTGTTATCGTGGCGGATAACGTTGTAACACGAGCCGCATCAAACAAAGCGTCTCGTTGCGATCGGTACGCGAGTCGCGTGCATGCCGATTGACGACGGGGCGCAAGGGTGTAGGGGCCCTTTCGTGCACGCGTGTGCGTGGCGCGTTAAGGAAATATCGGGGCGTATACGCAGTGAACGCGGTACGTGCTCGACTGGCCGCGCAGACATCGCTCGTTCCTCGTCCACGTGTTGCTACCACGACAAAGGACCTGCGCGTGTTGCGAAGCGTTTTACAGCGACCTGGCGCAGGGGGCACATTCCTGTACCGTTGCCTTCTTCCACTCGGGAACGAGAGATCCAGTTACTCGTAGGTGGAACGCAATAGTTTCGCATTTCCTACTTGGCAGTGCCAACCATGGGCGGGCTATGGGATTCTCCCCTCGTTTGCCGTGGCGAGATCAACAATTCCTCGTGCAGTAATTCTTCTCGGCCGAGCCGCATGCCACCAATGTTAAGTGGACGATTTTTATGTAAGTTGAGTAACATCTCGTAAACCGACAAAATTTATACAGAGTGAGTCTTTCCATATCCGACCAAATTTTTGAGAAGGTAGAACGGAT